TCTTTGGTCCCACTTTTAAATACCCTGGGGCATGTGTCTAAGCCAACAGGCTCCCCCAACTCCTTCCCGAGGCTGGACTAAAGAGGGCTAGGAAAGTTCCTGAAAGTGGGACCAAGATTGTCTTCAATGAAACAATTGTTTTCAATGGAAGAATGGTTTTATGTGAAATTTTGTTATAGAATATAATTAAGATTATAGTGGAATAAACTGAAAGCAAGTGTAACCAGGGCTTCTGATGGGCACTGATAAAACAACAAACAAACAACAAAACCTTAGAATAGTAAATACTTAACCTTTAAACTCCTGTTCCTGGTGTTCCCTCCAAAATCAATAGGCCTCTAATCAAAAGCAAGGTAAGCACAAGAGTAAACTCTTTCTATAGGCTCATCAGCTAAAAGCTAGTTAAATGATAACTTAAAGTTTAGAGTGATTGATCCAAAGTCTCTTTGAGGGGGTTAGTGATTAGATAAAGGACCCCTTATTTATTAAGCTTATCCTAGCTTCTGGAACTAAACCATGTCACATCCTACAAGGACTCTCCAAACTGTTGGCTGGCAGCTTGTGTCCCCTCTGCAATCCCTACCTGGACTCTTCCTCAGGGCCTGGATGTGGAGAAGTCTCTCCTCAAGAACACTCTCCCTAGTCTTCCATTCTGCCTGATGGGAACCGTGCTTTCTACCTGGGCCTTGAGCACGTTGCCTCAGGGTCACTTCCCAAGCCTACCTTTGCAGGGACTCAGACTTCCCTTCCCCCTATTCTCCCCTCCAGTCCCACTGACTACAGTGTCCTGTGCCTGGCTCAGGGCCTTGGGCTCCTCCCCAGGCTAGAGAGCTGGCCATCAGAAGTATTGACTTCCCTCTTCTCTGTGATGGGAATGCAGTCCGAGCTTCTCCCGGGATGACAGCGAATCATTCCAAGAGAACTAAAATTACAAGGCATGTTGGAACCTATAAGTGTTTTATCCCTCAGGAAGCTACTCTTGACCCACGAGAGGTCCCTGTCTGTGACAAACAATTAAGATGCAATTTCTGCATCAGGGCCAATAACCAGGAGGCCAGTCCCCCAGTCCCCAGAATCAAAGGCCAAGAAATGTCACTAACCTCTCAGAAAGTCTCATTATTCCTAACTGATATTGTCAATAGTGATTGAAAAGATAATGATGTTTGCCCAAAGCTCATCAGCTGCCCAGGAGCACAGGAGGGGAAAAGCTGGTTCTTGGGTAGACATGAATTTTAGGAAGCTACCATTCAGCCCAGTACAGGGGAATAACTATTGACTGTAAGACTGATGATGATAGACACTTAGCAGTGACCAACAGCCACTCAGGGAGCTATTTACATATTTAATGATAAGGAAATCTTCCTCAAGTTCTAGAATTATCTTGACTTTTTTTCTTTTTAAGTCTGCTAGGTAATGATATGCTTATGCATTATTAAGGTCCAACAGGATTTTCAAATATATTATAGCAATTGACTTTGGTTTTTAAAGCTAAACAAAGCAAAACAGAAAACTCGTTTATGACTTTTCCAAGACTCAAGACAGAACAACTCTCCTAAGAACGATAGAGAGCAGTGAGGAACCACCAGTGCTGTGGTCTATGAAGCTGGTCCCCAAGACAAAGAAACAGTGTTTCCCCACCCCCTCACTAGCTTCCCTAAAACAATCACCTCTGCTAGAGAATATTTCTATTCTGTGTAATAGAAACAATGAGGGTTCATCTCAGAGAGACTTTGTATCTCAGTGGGCAGTGGGCATGCACATAAGAGAGCAGATGAAGGACCAAAGCCAACGGCCCCAGTTCGCCATGAAATTAAAACAAGAACAGAGAGTTCATCCAGCCGTATGAGCCAAGAACTCTAGAGTTTCACTTTCAAGGCTGAAAAATAAAAGGGCTGCTCTGGGCTGGGGGTGCAGCTCAGTAGTCAAGTATTTGCCTAGCATGCACAAGACTCTGAATTCCATCACCAGGACTGGAAAGAAAAGAAAGAAGAGGCTACAATCCACTCTTAACTAAAGCCAAAAGTCTTTATCCTGGACGTGGAAACGTGAATATTCTAAAATCCAGGACTTGGGTGATGAATCACACTATAATTCACCTGAATTCCTGTATGTTTTGGCCAAGCAAGCCTACGGTCAAGTTCCTGGAAGGAGGGAAGTTCAGGATACCTAAGGAAGGTGCCTCCACCTGGTGGGAAGGGGCTCCCTGGAGAGCCCACCAGCAGAGATTCTCAAGGTCAGACACTGTAGAGAGGAGCACTGAGTCATAGGGAGGGCCACCTGAGGATGGAGGCATTCCATGTGGACAGGCCCAGGAGATGGCCCTTTGGAAACTAGCCATGTGGGAGACCAAGGTAGAGAAATGTAATAGCAAAGCAGAATCCAGAACAACCCAGTGACAATGGTGAACCCCACTCACTCTTACTGTATTCCAGGGTGTGCACCGTGCCCCTGGTAAGTTTCACCTCTTGCCACCTTCACCTTAGGAAGAATGCTCCTTTAAGCCTAGCAATAACACGGGGAGGATAGCAAAGCCTCAGTTAAGAAGTGGTCATGGAAAGTGAACGACTATGCCTCTAGGCCTGAATGCTCTCCATCACATACACCCCTCTGGTCCCTGGAGGATGTTGAGTCCCCTTTGCCTTTGTGTACTCCTGGGACTAGGAATGCGGGGAACACAGCAGCCCATGAATCAGGAGCTCAAATTCACATGGGGAAAAGAAGAGTGAAGAGAATATGACAGGTAAACAGCATAATTTATCCAGGGGCCAGGCTTCCTAAGGGCCCCTGCCCCTAGACACCCTGGGACAACATCTCAAGGCAATGTCTAGACAGGCCAAGGTGTGGGAGTTTGATCTCTCCAGTTACCTTCTGCCTGGCAGACCCCTAATTCTTTGTTGTTGTTGTTTTTAGTTATACATGACAGTAGAATGTATTTCGACATATCACACATAGCTGGAGTACAACTTCCCATTTTTCTGGTTGCACATGATGTGGAATGACATTGGTGTTGTATTCATATATGAACATAGGAAAGTGATGTCCAATTCATTCCACTGTATTTCCTATTCCCGTTCCCCCTCCCTTCCCTTCATTCCCCTTTGACTAATCCAAAGTGTTTCTATTCCTCCATACCTCACGCCCTTATTGTGAGTTAGCATCCACATATCAGAGAGAACATTCAGCCTTTGGTTTTCTGGGATTGGCTTATGTCACTTAGCATGACAGTCTCCAGCTCCATTCATTTATGGGAAAATGCCATAATTTCATTTCAGAACCCTAATTTTTGCTCTTAACCCCATGTGATGCTTTTAAAAATTTCATTGGGGCCACAAATGTGGGAAATTCTTTACCCAGGCTCATTCGCAGAGCTCCAGCTCCACCTGATAGGCCTGGCTACAGTGCAGTGCACCCAGGTCCTTGCAGACACTCATACACACATCATACTCATGCACACACGTGCCATGCACTGCTCATCACACTCCACACATCACACAATACACATTGCACACTCACACACTCGTAGCCATCATATACACACTACACATTTATGCATCACACAATACACATGGCATATCCATACAGCTTGTGCACGCTCACACATTCACACAAGCTCTCACACCCACAGCCACACACATCACATTCACTCATTTATATTTGGACCCTCCCTCCCACTTTTCTCCCTGGGTCCCCAAGGCAGTCCCAGCAAACAGCAGAGCCTGGCAGCTACAGGGCACAGGAAGGGCCCTCTAAGGAGGGAGGGTGGGAGCTGATCCCAGCTAAAACCTCTGGCACCCTAGCCTGACAGAGGCCTCAGGCTGCCTCTGATATCATGGCCCATCTGCTGGTTGCAGGACCTAGCTCCTCTGAGCCAGTGTAGATCTAGCCAGAACAGGGCAGGGCAGGGCAGGGCAGGCAACCCGCCTACACGCGTTTCCTCTGCACCTGCTCACAATGGACCCCTAACTGGGGGAACTTGTTGTTTTGGAGAGCATGTGACAAATTTGGTGTGTGGGGGCAAGTGGGTTGTGATGCACACAGCCCCTGAGGAGCCCTGGGCTCTGTCAGCTGCCTCCTCCCTGAGGCAGTGTAGGAATAGCCTGAATCCTCCATGGGCACAGGAGGCTGCAACACCTGGAGGTAAGAACCAACATCCAGGAATGAAGCATCAAGGACTGAGGCTCTGGGAACCCTCTGATCAGTAACAGTGCAGCACGTCTCCACTTGAAATAGGACTCGTAATGCTCTTTCACATCTGTGATTTTTGCTGGGCATCATAAAAGATGTGTGAGGTAGGCAGGGCTGAGACCCTCCCTACTTTCTTAATGAGAAAACTGAGGTCCAGGAAAGCTTTCCCAAAACTAGATTGTGACATTGCTCCTATGGTCCCTGGATAGTGGCCTGGGTCCCTGCTGGAGGGAATTACCTTATGGAGACAGCTGGGGGAAATGAGGGATGAGGGATGGCGGAGATGTTGAGTGAACTAGGGATGATGTTCTGTAGGAGGAAATGCCAGGGGTCATCTAGTCCCACCTTCATATATTTTCTAGATAAAGAAATCAAGACTCAGTACTGAATTGCCCCAGATCCATGATTGGCAACTCCACATAGTAGGTGCTCAAAGGTATTCATCAAATGAGCTAACTGATAAGGACCACAACCAGCATCTTCTGACTTCAGGTCCAAACCTCTGTCCACACAGCTTCCATCCAATGGGAAGAATTGGAGATGAGGCTCTTTCTTTTCCTGAAGACAGGGGTAAAACAAAGGCCCCCAGCTCAGGAGTTAATGGATACATATAAAGCACAGGAGGCCCCTCCAGGAAAAAGTGTGAAGGCAAAGAGATACCAGGCTGGTGCTTGCTAACAATCTCGAGAGCTTCCTAGAGGCCCTGTGAACCCTGGTGACCCATTCTCACCCAACACAGCATGTTTTCTCAATTCCTGACTTCCGCTGTGGTTTGCTGGTATTTTCTTTTTTAGGCTAAGACTAGCTGGCAAACAAGACAGGTTGTCATTTCCTCATTTTCAAGCCTTTGCCCTCGATGGGGCCAGAATCTCTTTCAAGCTCCCGATGGTGAAGGGCTCTCGGGTTGGCAGTGGGTCTCTGCTCCAGAGGCTTTGGAAAGAACCATGGACCTCTGGCTTTGGTCACTTTACTTCCTGCCAGGTAAGGACTCTGGGGAAACACTTCACACTTTTTAATGAAGTGGCCACAGGCAATCAATCGCCAGGCATCTCCGTCCCTGATGTTCCTTGATGGATTCAATTGCAAACCAGGACAAGTTCGGAGGCCATGTGAGTCACCAGAGCACCCCTGCTCCCTGCTAGTGCTCCTCTCTCCACTCCAGGTACTGTTTAGCCAGTTGTTAATTCTCCAGGGCTGAAGGTATCTCATTTCCTAGACATTTCTACCTTTATTATGGGATCTTAAAGCTGGTGCCTCCAAAGATCTTTCTTCTTACCGCCATATTCTCTGTCTATAGATCTTTTTCACTCCTGAATTTCAAGCTTTCAACTCTAAAGGAGGACTCCCTAATCCATTCAACAGTCCCATTCTATTTTCTGAATTTCATATTTCAGTTGGCAACTGTCTCTTGGACACCCCACTTTAACAACCCACAAAGACCCCAGACACAGCTACATGCTTAACCCTTTACCTCCGACTCCTCATTGGTCCCATCCAAATGGGCTATTTCATCTGCCATAAGTGTTTCTAATATCAGCCACAAAATGCCAGAATGGCTTTTTTTTTTTACCACCTCTTCCCATTTAGTCCCAACCAGAGTTTGGTCCAATCAATGGCCAATTTGTGTAGCTTACCAGAATGAGAAGCAGTGGCAGCCTCTACTAGCAAGGTCACAGAGGAAAAGGAAAGGGGTCAAATGCACAACTATCCTCTCTCAACTATCTTTCCCACTTTCACCCTCTCAGCCTGATCAGGTAAATCTTCCCACAGCTTGACTCTAGTCAGAGGATTGTTCTTTGCAAAACCTTCAATGTATTGACACATTCTCCTGCACTTTGCTCTAGCCAAACAGGACTCTTCCTCGAACATATGCTACACACCCCTGCCACCTTGCCCTTCCTCGCCCATGTTATTTGTTCTACCAGAAACATCCTTCATTTCACCTTCACCTCTTATGAGTTCCTTAAAGTCCACCTCAGTCTCCACTTCCTTTTCAAAGACTTTCCTGAGCCCCCGCTTCTGAACTCAGAATACTAATTACATTCATATTGTGGCTCCGTGTGTGTTTATTTGGTTAATTAAATGATAAGCTCCTTAAGGATCAAAATGGATTTTTATTCAAAAGTTCTTTCTTTGTGATGCCTTCAGTATAGAATAAATTCAAATAATTGTTGCATTGAAAAGTCTTAAGAGCCCAAAGGAATGGAGTTTTAATGCGGTGTCAGACACTCTGAGAGGTAGTGGGATATATGTGCATGATGGATGGCTAATCAAACTGAGGCTGAGAAGGCAGAGGGGTGGGGCGGGAATGGAAGATATAAAGGTGTAAAGAGTGCTTAAATCATACCACTTCAGTCTGCCCCTGAGCAGCACCGCCATTCTAGCTGGGCCAAAGGGATGTTGCTCCCCCTAGAAGGAGGGGAGGATTACGCAGGCCCAAGAGGATGCAGGAGCTCATGCTTCCAGCTCTCCCACCATGCTAACATGGGCTACACTTTCAGTGGGCTCCCGTAGAGCTCCCTCTCCAGTCCCTGTAGTCTGCATTCTCCTCCCATGATGGTTTCCACCTCTTTACCCTTGTCCACATTTACCCATTTACCCATCAGGGATGTCCTGATCCAGAATCCTCAAGTCTCACTGCTCTCCTGACGCTTTCCTTGACACCCATTTGACTGAACTTCTTGCAGCTGTCCTGAAGTCGTGCTCTGGGGATGCATCTCCCTAAGCAGGAGGAGTTCTCTCCATCCACATCCACAGATGTGCTCTGTTCTCTCTGGCATCCCCACCCTGGTGGGGACCATTCTTACCATCTGGAAGACTTCTTCTCCTTTGCAGCCCTGCACCCCATCCCATCCCCCCCCACACACACACATTTTACCTTATGAACCCTCTTCCTGAAAATATTCAGACACTTAATGGAACCTGTTTAGTTAATAATTAATCATTGAAGCCTTACCCTCTTCTATAGCTGGCTGAGCTGCATGAGACCTCTCACCTAAAGCACAAGCCTTTTAATGTCTGACTCTTGCAACCCACATCTTTTATCCCTCCCTGCTCCACACCCTGTCAACACACAGTGTGCCCACACCCTCACCTGCATTCACTCACACACTCCTTTGAGCTCCCCACTGGGTGACAAGTATCAGGATTCTCAGTTGCCCTCTATGCCCTTTCCTTCAGATCACAATTCAGACACCATATCTTCCAAATAACCTTCCTCTAACTACCCCACCCCCTACAAGAGACTGGATCAGGGGCCCCTGCTTGCTCCTTCCAAGGAATACTGTGCTCTCTGTCATGGAATTGATCACTCGGTGTTTTACTGGCTGGCTGTTGATATTGCTCAGTAAATGATTTGTTCTGCAAGGGAGAGATGCTCATGACAGGCATTCAGTAGACACTTACTGAATGACTGAATATGGAGAACTGTTGGAATAAATGACTGGCTGAATGAATATGACCAAAACAAAACTGGAGAGGAAAACCTACTGCAGCAAAACTGACCTGCATCTCCCAGCCTCAGGCTGAAGTCCCTTGGGGGCTATATGCCATTTGGGGTCACCCTAGGCACATTATTTCTCCTTGAAGTGGGTGTTGTGGTTTTGATCAGATTCTCATAGGGGTGGTCTGGGTCCTTATGGATATGGATTTAGTGATGAGGCAAAGAGCTAAGTTAAGATGTGGTCATGGGGGACGGGTGAGTAAGGACTTGGCCTGAGGTGGTAAATCGGGTTAGGCAAGGGAAAAGATGAATGAAGATGAGGGAAGAAATCATGACAGGTTGAGGCTGAGGACTGACTGAAGTTGGACTGGTGATGGGGATGGGGCCATGGTTTGGAGTGAGGCTGGGCTAGAACCCGGGCTAGGGTTGGAGAGAGTCAGAGTTGGGGATATGTCTGGGAATGAGGCTCCCTCTGCATTAACTCCTTCTTCTGCAGTATGTGGGGCTCTGAAGATCCTCCCAGAAGTAAAGCTGGATGGAGAACTGGGTGGATCTATTACCATCGAGTGCCCGCTTCCTAAAATAAACGTGAGGATGTATCTGTGCCGGGAGATGGTGAAACCTGCAATCTGTTCCACGGTGGTATCCAATAACTTCATCAAGAAGGAATATGACAGTCGAGTCACTTTGAAGCCGTGCTTACACAAGAATTTGTTCCTAGTGGAGATGACAGAACTGACCGAGAGTGATAGTGGAGTTTATGCCTGTGGAGTGGGCACGCACACAGAACGGGGCAAGACCCAGAAGGTCACCCTGAATGTCCACAGTGGTAGGTGCCACCGCTGCTTGCAGGTTCAGTACACTCAGAAAATGTCTCCACTTAGGAAGATTGAGACAGCCATCTAAATAACAGTCCTCAGACTTCTATGCTATTGCCATATTAGCCAGCCCAAAAACAATTAGCATCCACAGAGTTGAACTTCATAGTCCACTAACCTTCTGACCCATAGAACTATCTATCCACAGTAGGCAAAAGGATAAGAGATGCTGACCTTGTGTCGCCTGTCCTACCCAGGGCTCAAGGGGAGAGGTGACATGAATTTGAGCACCAGTGGAAACTGGAAGCCAAGGACATAACCATCATATATAACTGTTCCATGAGATATATCAGAGATGAATAAAAAGGAAATACACCCACTTATCAAGGCATATTTATAGGCCATATTTGTTACTGTCTGGTCTGGTCCTTTATTTCTCATGCATCCAGCCTTTCTCCTCTTCTCCAGTGATTTCCTACACAAATGCAGCAACTAATTCAACAGTTCACAGTCCCAATAGTGTCTGATGGTTTTTCAGGGCATATTAGCTGTGCTAGAAAAAAAAGTGCTCTGTCAGGGAGGCCACAAGACCAGCTCCTTTTCTGCTCCTCTCCAGCAACGCTGCTCTCATGCTTACTGCCATTCACCTTGTTTGAGTCAGCTTTTACTTACACCAACAGTCCTTTCCCCAGGCCTGTCTTTACTTCAGATACCATCAACATAATCTCCTTGCTTCCAATAGAGTACAATCCATTCTGGGAGGAGGAGCTGATATCTGAGCCTCCAAAATGGTTTCATAAATTTCTGGAGCAGCGGATGCCCACTTGGCTCCAGATGGTTGCACATGCCAGTTCTTCTGAATCCACATCCAAAGGTCAGTCCATCAAAGCATGAGTAAGAGAGATGAGGAAGATGCTGTAGCGCTGTGGAAACGGAGGAGGGGGGTGGGTGGGTGTCCAGCTCACCATGAGTGGCAGAACACAGCAGAGCAGAGCCCAGCAGACCTGCTTTTACATCCTCCAAGCCTATCATAAAGCCACGACTCCCTGACATAGTTGCAGAACTTGCACATCACCACTAGGTGGCACCACAAGCAATGGAGCGTGTGCTCCATTCACAAAATCAGCTCTTTTTATGAATGACTGCCAAACCCACGACTGGGCAGACGTTTCCCAGCTGGAGGTCATCATGTCTTCTTGCTGCCCACAGGGTTGTAGTCTACCTGCTGGTGTCTAGTGATTTTAACAACTCTATTTTTCAATTAAAAGATAAATGGTTATTATACTAACAATACTTTTATAGTTCAGTATGTTTCTAGTTTTAAATGCATTTATGACGTGTTAATATTTCCATCATATCCTCGCATATATTAATTGAATACATGAGGGGACCCTGTTGATGCCAAAAGGAATAGTGTAATTGGGAAGGTCATAGAGCTATGGTTGTTACTGATAGGTGTGTGATGGGGGAGTACAAATAAACAAACAAATATAGCACAAGGCAGAGTGAGAACAGAACTACAAACAAGGTCTCCCCATGCTCATAGGAAGGCAAGCTCTTCTTCCTGGGAAGGCATGAGATGGGGAGCTTCCTGGAGGAAATGGTATTCGAAGCCAACACAGAATTGATTGCACAGAGGTGGTATGCTCTGAAGGCACTTCAGGCCATGAGGACCCTGGGAACAAATATAGTCTGGTCAAAAGAGAAGAATATATTAAAGAAAGAGCTGGTGGCCCAGTCCCTCTGGAGACTAGAGTAAAGTGTATATGGAAGGTCCCTTTTTCTTTCGTCTTCTGCAGTTATCACACCAACCCAAAGGACTGATGACCCTCCAGAGCCCCACCCTTCCCCCACCACACCAATAATTCATCATCCTCGAGAATCCAGAGCATTCTCAGTAGCAGCTGCCAAGCCCTCAACTGTTCTGCCATCCACCACAACATCAAAGACTTCAACTCAGGAGGGGCTGCTCAGGCCCCCAGGGGCCAGCTACAAGCAGCACACTAGATTGCATGGGCAGAGGTAAGAGGCCTCCATCATCCAAGATGGTTTCAAAGCCAGGTAAAGTAGGCAAGAGTCAAGAGATCCACTAAAATCTCCCTGCAACATCCATTATTAGAGACCCTTCTTAACCTTGTCTCTAGAAGACCACTATGAAATATACTACCTATGAATATAGCAGGTATGAATCTCATTAGCATTTAATGTTCTAGCACTGAGTCTGTAGAAAGAAATAGACTCAAGTCTTTCACATTCAAAATTATTCAACTTTGTTTTGATGGGGAAAATTAAATGAGAATCAAATGAACCAATAAGCTATTAAGTGTTTGAATTACTTTCATCTATTTCGTTTTTAAATGTGGCTACTAGGAAATTTAAAATTACATATGTGACTTACATTGCTAGTGGACAGCCCCAGCCTGAAGACTCAGGTGCAGTCAAAGGAAGGCAGCAATTAACCACTAGGTGGTAGCACTATAACAGGTGGCAAAGAAAATCTCTAATGTTGGAATTTTTTATGCCTAAGCAATCACAAACATGTTAATGAGGAAATGGACTTCCAAGATTATTTGGGGTTCTATAAATAGGGAAATAGGCTGTGAGAGCTAAGTGATTTCAGATAGTACTAGAACCCCTGATACTATTTGGTTTGATAAATCACACCAACATACCAGTGGAGAAGAAAATGAGTAAATTTAACCAACATTTTCCTAGTCTAAACCATGTGACAGGACTGTGCCACGTCCTTAAGATGTGAAAAGATGATAACATGCAATATCCAATTCTGACTGTGATCAAGTTTGTAATGGGCAAGAACATGAGAACTGGAAATACATGAGATTTATTTTGGCTTGGCACAATGGGGGAAGAAAAGAGGACTATGCACTGTCCCTTCCAGAAAAGTAAGATTTCAATATGTACAGAAAACAAAGGGAAGAGGGAGCACTCAGAAAAACAACTTTTTCATAGTAATAAGAAACTAGCTCAAGCCAGGTGCAGTGGCACACACCTGGAATCCCAGCGGCTCTGAAGGCTGAAACAGGAGGATCATGAGTTCAAAGCCAGCCTCAGCAAAGGCAAGGTGCTAAGCAACTCAGTGAGACTCTGTATCTAAATAAAAAATACAAAATAGGGCTGGGGATGTGGCTCAGTAGCCCCTGAATTCAATCTCTAGTTAAAAAAAAAAACTATCTCATTAAATATTTTCAATAAACATGTGAGTAAACCAAGGTGCACAGTATTGGCCAGGGACTGGCATTTATCGTCTCCAGCTGTAGGCCAGGAGCATTAAATTCTTCATATCCACTATTTTGTATCATCTGCAAAAATGAAAATGATACAGATTTGTGGGAAAATGAGGCTCAGAGAAGTTGGAGATTTGTTCAAGGTCACGAGTCCAGGAAAAGGCACATCTGAATTTGAACCCCAGTTTACTGACTCCACAGACAAGAGTCTTTGGGGTGAATGGAAAGAATTCTATTAACGAAGGGACAAGTCTGTGAGTTCATTTTAAAACGTTTGCCACAGGAAAGTGCTTCTTTAAACCTATCTCCCTCACTACCTTCTCTTTCTCTCTCCTATTCCTTCCCCCCCCCCCCCCCAGAGAATTCAACCGTGGCTCAGAGTTTGGAAGGGAGGATCAAGGATTTCACATCCTGATCCCAACTGTCCTGGGTCTTCTCCTGCTGGCCCTTCTGGGGCTGGTGGTAAAAAGAGCGATTCAAAGGAAGAGAGGTGAGCAGCTGGGCTCTGGGCTGGGGTGGGAAAGCTAAGCTCCCAGACGGTTCTGATCTCTGCTTGATTTTGCAGGAAAAACCCGGGAGATAGCGATGTACTAGTAGCCTGGGGTGTAGGGAAGTGGGGCGAAGGTCAGTGACCTGGGAATGGGTACGAGGAGGAGGGCGGCCTGAGACCTTTGGTCTTCAGGAGAGGGTAAGACGATCCAAAGAATGTCCCGCACACTTTGAGCATCTATAGGTCTGACGTTGCCAAGCATCGAGGAGGGAGCAGCCTTGAGTTTGGGGAAGGAGAGGAAAGCTGGCTTCGGGCCTCTGATGCCATTTTTTTCTTTCCCTGTCACCACGGAGAAGCCTTCTCCAGGCGGGTCCGCCGAATGGCGTTGAGGATGCGCGCCCTGGAGGCCTCCCAGCGGCCCCGGGAGCAGCGGCCCAGATCGCAGCGGCCGCGCTCCCAGAACATCTACAGCGCCTGCCCCCGGCGCGCTCCAGAGTCTAACGCTGCCGGTGAGCGGAAGCTGGTGGCTGGCGGGTGACCCTACAGAAGATCAGAAGGAGCGCGGGCGTAGACCGTGCGCCTGGCGCCAGGTTCTGGGGGAGCAGGACTCCCCCCACCGCCACGCGCCGCCGCCCTACTTCCTCGGGATTCCCGCAAGATGGGGAGGGGCGGGGGCGGAACTGGAGGCTCTGTCTCGCCCTTACGTCAGCACTCCCATCCCCCTTAGGCCAGAGGCAGGTCCCTCCTGCGGATCCTGGAACATCTGCACCCTCAGCCCCGCCACAGGTAAGCTCCACCTGTCTTCTGATTGGCAGCTTCAGCCCGAACCCGCGCCCCCAACTGTGGGCATGGACCAGAGAGAGCACTGTTACTAGAGCAGGGTCTTAGCTCCAGGTTGCAAGATCTTACCCCAGATCCTGGGGCCCATTCGGGGGACAAGTTGTATCCATTCCCTTATTTGGTGTTGTCAGAAGACCAACTCCCCAGGGTTTGTGGTATTTTTAGTTAACTAGCTGTTAGAGAATGATACATGGTAACCTGCAGCTACTTGAAGAACTTTCAAATGAAGAAATTATTTTACTGGGAGGTTTAAGAGGGTTTCATCTTAACGTGAGGAAGAACTTTCTAGTAAACCCTAAGATGAGATGAGGTAGTTTACCCATCACTGGAGGAGGTCAGGCTTAACTTAGAGACTCAGCAGACAAGATTAAACACCTTGGGTGTCCTTCATCAAGGAATGGACATAGAGAGTTTCCATTAGGAAAGAAGCCTTGAAACTGTCTGTCCATTTTGTTTTCCCAAATTAAGAAAACCTTTTATTTTCTAAAGAAGCCAACAGTGGCTAAAACACTGGTTTCAATACCCAGAAAAGAACTAAGGGTAGCAAATATCCAAGTTTTAATTAGAGTGTTGACTAAGTTCATGTAACAGACCCCCAAACACATGGCTCCAAAGTTAGAAGCCTATTTTCCTCTCAAGCAAAGATTCAGAGGGACAGGAAGGGGTAGCCTGAGCCATGAAGTCATGCAGCAACTTTTTGCTCCCTCAGTCTCTGGATGGTCCTGGTCCCTGGTCAATACTCAGTCTCTAGTATCATATCTACATTCCAGCCCACCAAGAAAGAAAGAAGTGCTTCTTTAAGACCATGGTCCTGAAGTTTCACACATTCCTTTACTTATTTAGCTTAATTGTGGACCTTAATTAGCTTAGTCAAGCAGCACCCTCTACCTTCAAGGGAAGCTGTGAAAGGTCGTCTCTGGTTGGCAATCATGAGCCTTGCTGAAAAGGAGAGAGTGATACCCAGCTCTGCCAGTTACCTCTAGTTTCTTGAGCTTTCCCTTCCCCACCCCCATTAGAGAAAGCTCCCTGCAGCTTAGGAATGGTCCCACTGTTGTTTGTCTACTCCACTATCCACCAGCCTTTCTCTGAATCTGCTGGGACCACACAGTCCTCTCCTGGGCAGGGCCTTTCTCACAGCTTACTCTGCCTCCCTACTTGAGACTCTGATTCCCAGTATCGGGTCAAAAACATTGATGGAACAAATTCATTTTAAAACCAAATAAGTCAGTTTCAAATGATGAACTGTAAAAGGCAATGGGGGATTTTGTTTATTTTGGCAGTATTGGGGATTGAACCCAGAGCCTCATACATGCTAGGCAAAAGCACTCTGCCACTGAACTACATCCCCATTCACACCATATCCCCCCCACCACACACACACACACTTTTTTTTTTTTTTTTTTTGAGACAGGGTCTTACTAGGTTGACCAGCCTGGATTCATACTGGCCATCCTCCTGCCTCACCTCCTGAGTAGCCAGTATTAAAGGTGTGAGCCACTGCACCCAGCTAGGAGATGTTTTTGAAGCAAGCTACTTCTGCATCCCCCTCTTGGAAAGTACAAAACAAAAGCTCCTTTCCATGAGTGCTCACTGTATTCAGGGTCCTGAACATCTGGATCATAGAACTTGTGTTTAAGTACGTGATCACAGTCCCTACCATGGCTTTCTGTGAATATTATAGTACTTGTGCCATGTTGGGGTCTTTGGCACAGCCCTGTCCTCTAAGAACTAATCATACTAAAGGTAGATGATCTGAAGGGAAGAAACCATCTGTCTGAGGAGGAGAAGCACCACAGTGCCACATGGTCAGCAATTTTCCTCCCCTTCCCTGCCCAGCCCCTTTCTGGAATGCCATGTCATGGCCTCTCCAAGCTCTTACAGAGAGGTACAAGTGTGAATCACTGTACCTGTGAATTCCTCCCTAAGAAGATGCATATTTGTTCCACAAGTCACATTTTTATCCCCAAGGGGTTACTCCTCTGACAGCTGGGTCTCCTCAGACCCATGCTTAGCCACACGATTTCAATCTGAGCTCCATTTAAGGCATTTCCTTCCCATATTAGTTCTAAGTGTTTTCACCACCCTGAAAATCCCCAGGGCTGGCCCACTTGATGGAAATCAGCTACCTCTTTGTCTTTGCCTTCTAGAACTCAGAGTCCCCCCTGCCATGCCCCCCCATTTCCTGTTATGGAAACCCAGCTGGAAAGATACTAAAACCATCCACCCAAATTCAGTGATGCTTATTTGGTGTTTCCAGGTGCTCGAAGCTCCCTGGCTCCACACCCCATCTCTGAAGACCAGCTGTGAATATATGAGCATCTGTCACCAGCCTGCTGTCAAGAGGGAGGACACTGAGTCAAATGATTACATCAATATTCCCAGCCTGACTCACCCTCCTAGCTGTACCCCTGCAGCCACACCTTGATGACAATAAGTCTTCTCTGTCTGCTAATTTCCAATGACTGCTCCATCCCCTCACAGAGCCCTGATCACCTCGCATGCCCCCATCTATCTGTGCCCTGAGCATAGCTCTGCCCCACATAATCTTGCACACCTTTGTACCCCACTGTGTGCCTCGAGGAGTCTGGGTATGCATAGCATTTGTCTCAATGCCGCCTGCTTCCTTTCCAAACCATGTAACAGGCTGTGGCATTTGCAGTGTCTTTGGTCACAGGGACTTTGCTGCTCTGGCTCTAGATCACGTGGCATTAATATGGAGTGTAGGCATAGCTGCCATTTCAGAAGCCCTTCCCAAGCTTAGGCCTCACACAAATAGACAGCCTCTGGGTTGCACTTCATGAGGATGGGCCTCAGCCCTGTGAGTTAGGAAGGGCCTGGTATGATAACACTCCTAGGAAGGACTTTGCCTTGACCCAAAGGCTGGAACTTGCTAGTATGAAGCTATTTATCTCCTGTCCAATTTACTTTGATGTTATAAAGTATCCTACATTCTCAGAACCAACATTGTTAGTGATAGTGATATATATATATATATATATATATATATATATATATATATATACAATCCTCTTTAGTCTAAGTCTCCCTCATTTGCTATAGAAAAGTACCCTGACCCTAGCAGCTCCTGCTCTTTTAGTCACAGTCTTTGTCACCTCCTTACCCTTCTTCCACATCCTAACACTGATAGAACACTCATTTTTAGTCTGTTTTAGCCATCCCAAGTCATTACCTCTCTCTGCTTTTAAAAATGTCCCTCATCTTTTTGCCAGTTCCAGACAACATATAGCAAAGTGGGAAGGAAAGTAGCATGGGGTTCCTGGAGGATCAGGGGCTCTGCAGTAGCTCTTCTGTTGTGGAAAAGGAGACACCTTGCCTCCTAGCAGCTCTTAAGTGTAGTCTTTCTCTTAACTTTTGGGGGGCAAGGTGACATAATTTGGACTCTATCTTTGGATTGATGTCAACTACAAAGTACAATTAGAGCTTGAGAATGACCATTCTTGCCATTAAGAAGATCTTTCCCTAATACACAACACAGTCTCCCCAGGCACTTGCCCAGAAGTAGGGAGAACAGACTACCAGATCTGGGGTGAGTTGCCCCCTTTATTAGCAAGAAATGTCATCACATATTTCACAGTACCTCCTCCAGCCACAGAGATACCATCAGTGATGTCAGCTTGACGCTGTCACTTTCTCAAGTATCAGATAAAGGAAAGAAGAAGAAAAGGAGAGGATCCAGGCAGAAGGGATGGTGGAGTAGGGTAGGGTGGGGAGGGGTAGGGAGTGCAGCAGGAAATGAAATGTTGTGTGACAATCTGCTTTGTGCCAGGCACTTTAGCCAACATGTTATCTTCCATCATTTACTTTTCAAACTAATGCTCACCCTCACCCCAATGCTGTGCCCCTGCAGATATATGACTTCCATGAGTTAAAGTTCAATATTATATCCTAGCATCCCTCATTGTTTCTCAAAAATCCAAACACAGGTAAAAAAAAATAAAATCCAGTTTATTAAATATTAATTGAGCACCTACCCACTGCCCCACACTGCAGCAAGGATCATGGGAGATAAAAAGGGAAATATGGGTCACACTATATTCTGCTGCCTTCAGGGAATTTAGCATCTTGCAAATAAATATAACTTCAGTTGAAGCACTGGCAGTAATTAAATGGAGTTGTAATCAATACAGGAATCCACTTTGTAGATTATTCACAGCATCCTGTGATTGTCTTTTGGGCTGCTGAAAGAATGAAGTCTTTGAAAGAAGCCTGGGACAACAGTAGGGTCCATGGCCAAGAGTGTGAAGTGCCCAGCGAGCCACACAGGAAGGGACACCTGTTTGAAATTACATGAAGAATGAACAAGTACACGATTCTTGTCTGGACATTCAGATCTTGTAGAATTTCTCCATCCAGGTCAGGAGAATGTCCACTTCCCCAAAAGCTTTCGTCAGAGCTGCTTCTATGTCCAGCTAAGGAGAAAGGAGAGCCAGAGGTCAGCCACGTTAGCCGAGAGAATGTTTTCCTTCCAATCTGCCATGTCAGACACAGACATGATTCCAAATCCTGGGCTGGGTCACCTGTGGAATGGTCTCTGATGATCTCTCCTGCCCATCCCTTGTCGCCACCTGAGTATTTGTCTGCTTCAGGGATGAGGATAAAGAGAGTAGTCATGGGGTAGCCACAGAGTAGTGTTGGGTAAAGGACAAGAGCACTCGGCACCCCTAACCACAAGAACCACAGAATGCAGCCTGGGGTGGGTATGGCCCACCACCTGCATCCACTGTGCAAATGAGGAAATGAGCCAGGGAGGCCTCTTTCCATCATGTATTTTGCTCTTCACCATTTATTTATAGGCTAATGTATGATCAAAATCACATTTTGGAAAAAAAATAACTTGTGGGGAGAGGTGCTGAGAATGAAATTTGGATTATTTTGTGTGTGTGTCTAAATTTAGGAAGAGGCAATATAATTTTCCATTGTTTTTATTCATAAATGAGACCAGTTGAGCATTATGGAAAATACTGCAGATGTGTTTGGGGGTGGGTGGGGTGACTCCTCGCTTCTTTCATTACCCAGTTCAAGTACCCATAAAACTCTCTCACAGGGAAAGTCCCCAATAATGAAATCATCTGGTAGGGAAATATAATAGCATTTTAACTTGATAACAGCTGGGGAACAAAAGAACACTTCATTTGTGCCACTTATACAAAGTATATGCTAATTGATACAAATATGCCTATGTTCCTGCTAAGTCAGGTGGGATTGGGGCAAACCTGGTGGAGTCACCTATATTAAATTCCACTTTAGGTCTCTGAGGCCCCTTAGTGTGACAGGTTGAGTTATTCTGCTAGGTGAGCAAGCTCCCAGCTCCTAGCCTTACCCGTTTGAACGCTCTGTGGAATAGCAGAAACCGCTTGTGTGCACTCTCACTGACAGAAAACATCTCATTTTCCTGCTGGATAACAAGAAAAAAAATGTTGAGCCAAGAATTAGATGATGATGATGGTGATGTCACAAAGGGTCCTGAGAGGACAGAGCTGAGCTAACCTCAGAATAGTCAATGCCCAACTCCCACCATGTGGCAGAAGCTATCTCCTTTAATTCTCCAGGGAGAAGTGTCATGCTCATTTAACAGATGATAAAACTGAAGCCAGAGAGGCTGAGCACCTTGCAAAGTGTCACCCAGTTGATCAGAAGCAGAACCTAGACCTGAACCCAGCACTCTTTTTTCATAACCCCCATAACTCCCTGTTGAGGAATATAAGCCAGGACCGGATAAGGAAAGAGAGTGTTCTCAAAACACACCATTTGCCGACCCCAAGGCCCAGCTTTGTTCTACTCACAGAGGGTTGAAGTTTTGACATGATGACAATAAAGTTGTTGGCCAGAGTAGAGAATGATTTCAGGGTCTTGAATTCAGCTCTTTTGTGGTAGTTTTTGAAAACAGTGTTCAGATAGAACTTGAGCAGGGCGTGGATAAGGTAACAGCTCTCAGCATCCTGGGGGAGGATTGAGTCACTGCAAAGCCGAGACCTCTGCCCACCCTGGAGGGACAACCCATGTGCAACCCAAGGCAAGATAAGTACAGTAGGGGTAGGAGCCTTCTAGGAGATGATGAACATTTGATCTGAAGGAACTTCAGGGGCCCTAGAGAATAACACCTGTTTCACAGGAGGAACCCAGACCTCAGGAAGGAGGTGACCCACCCAAAGTCACACAGCTGTCAGTGGCAGGCACAGACGGAGGGTCTGGAACTCCTGACTCCTCATTTAGCTGATATTCCCTTTCTTTTGCACCATACAGCCTCCCAAATATGGAGAGGTCACGGACCCTGAAAGCACTTGAACTTGGACTTTGTGGTGGAGAGTTGGTGGGAAAATGACTAATAGGAAAAGAAATGAGAAAAACGAACATTCTTCAACAGCAATTGCACTACAACCCCCTCAGCTCTTGAAGCTCCACACCTCTTAGGGATCAGGGCTCAGTACGTTTGTACTCACTCACTGAATTGATGGGTAATGAGAAGACAGAAATAGGTAAGAGAAAAGCATATTAGTGGAAAAGAGGGTTCAGCTCAATAGATGCCCATTGTTTATATAAGCAAAAGTGAAATACAGACTGGTGACAACTCTGGCTCAGTGGAGAAAGATGTTTACAAGTCTCAACCACCACAGAGTGATTCATCTGCACACTGCCCTGGCTCATGGCCAGATCTACCCTGTATAGGGTCAGCCCAGGGTAGATTGGGAAGGACTCCATCAGCCCCACAAAAGGAGGTATTGTCCTTGCCCACCATCTGATTACCGAGACATTCTGCAGAACCTCCTGGCGCAGCAGCCGGACGCTGGTGTTGTTATCCTGAGCTTGCTTGGGGAACAGAAAGAAAAGATGTCTCTAGGTTAGGGGTCAGTGAGGAAGCCAACCCCGCAAGTATGAGCTGCTTCCCCGGACCCCTAAATCCAACCAGTCTATGAGGTCCCAGAGACCAGAGGGACCAAAGGAGGACCCAGGAGGGGTGGTGCTGAGCTAGCCCCTGGGGAGGGGGGACAAGTCTTATGTATAGAACATCACTAAGCATGTCCCCTCACTCCCACACAGGCATATGGAATCTCAGGTCTGAACACAGACTTGCTGAAGGACTTGTTTGATTCTTTTGGTCATTTGAGACAAGAGGAAATAAGTCAGTTTGGTTTTCCTCTGTATTTTGCAGGGTAAGGAGGAGACATGGGGGAGGAGGGGCTGCACCTGGAGCTCCCTCTGCAGCCCAGCCATTCATTTCAGATCTTGAACTTAGAACCAGAGCCCACCATTCAGGATGAAGCCTGACAAATCAGCATATTTCCTTCCCTTGAGCTCTGTTTATTTTACTAGAGGCTGACCACATCTTTCTGAGCCTCAGTTTTCTCATGGTACCAAGGGGCTTATAGTGCCTCCTGACCTCCTTGAGTTCTTATGTAGAAAACTGATGAGGAACCTGTGAAGGTCTTCATAATTATCCCCATGGCTGGGTCCAGAGCATCTTTGCACTCACCACAGTTTCCTGGATGGTCCAGAAGGCCTCCCTCAGTTGCTGGAGATTGACCCCTTCTGCTCGGCAGGGCCCAAATTGGAATTCTTGGCTCTGGAGCCCTGGTACCTGGCTCCAGACAAACAGGATCAGACTCAGGCAAGGGAGGGTGACCATCTGCAACCAAGAGCTCATCTGCAGCAAAGAAAGAGCAGACAGATCCTGCTGAAAGAAAGGGGGCCTTCTCCTGAGGCATGACCTCTGATCGGGAGGGATACACCCCAGTATAATGCTCTGTGAGTCTGTCTAGGCCAACCTCAGGAGCATACAGATGGGGCACCTGAGTGTGCCATGGTCTGAATGTCCCAAGAAAAACTCATATTGAAAAAAAAACAAAACAACTCAACATGAGGTATGAAGAAATGGGGCCAGGTGAGACCTTTAAGAGGTGATTAGATCATGAGGATTCAGCCCTCCATGAGTTAATCCATTCATGAATTAATGAGTTAATGGATCATCTAAAAGCAAGTCTGTTATAAAAGCCAAGTTGCCCACTGCTTGGGATGCTGCATAGAGTCCCCACCAAAAGAAGACCCTTACTAGATATGGCTGCCTATTCTTGAATTTCCTAGCCTTCAGAACTGTGAGCCAAATATACTCTTTTTCTTACAAATTTTCCAATCTCAGATATTCTCCATTAGAGAAACAGAAATAGGCTGAAACAGATGGGTTCCCAAGCTTGAATACTATAGACGTGGGGGGCTTGTTGGGGTGCACTGGGGTGGGGCTAAAGCTTCCGGCTCCTCAATTTCATACACGCTGGTCTTGCCGTCTCTCCACCTGCCCTCCTCCACTCCACATTTCCATCTCCACATCCCTGTACCCACTTCCTTCTGCATTACAGCCATGCCGGGCCTCCAGCCTGCTAATTAGAATTTGACCATCACCACTACCACCCCCCCCACACACAAAAAAAGTAAGAACATGCCAAAGAACATGTCTAGCGAGCCCAAACTCAGGAAAGTGTTGCTTCCATATTTACTTATCTGAGATTTGCCCAGGCACGCTAAGACAGGTCTCCCTCCCTCCTCCCAGGAGGTGACTACCCCTGATACCTCATCACATTCCTGGCCCAAAGGGAGGGGGCAGAAAGTACAGCCAGGTCACTGTACCATCTCAGCTGACCAACTCACTCTTTTTTGTTTGCTTGTTTTAGGAGTACTAGGGATTGAATCCAGGGGCTCTTAACCACTGAGCCACTTCCCCAGCCCTTTTTTTAAAAAAAAATTTTTATTGGCACATTATAGTTATACATAATGGTGGTGTTTGTTATAATATATTCATATGCACACACAATAAAACATAAGTAAAACAGTAATTTGATCAGTTTCATGCCCCAGTACCTCCCCTCCTTCCCCCTGATTTTCTTTCTCTATTCCATTGGTCCCAGCCCTTTTTAATATTTTATTTAGAAACAGGATCTCGCTGAGTTGCTTAGAGCCTCACTAAGTTGCTAAGGCTGGCTTTAAACTTGCGATCCTCCTGTCTCAGCCTCCTGAGCCGCTAGAACTAACAGGCGTGCGCCACCACACCCGGCAACCAACCCACTCACTCCAGACTCTTAAGAACTGGCTTTGCAAGTAACTGAACAAGAGAACGGAATCAGAGTTCCAGATGACTCACCTTTCAAACTCCTCTGAAGTGCCAACTGGAGAAGTCTGTGTGAAGGGCTCCCCAGCAAAGGAACTCGGCACCCTGATCTACTTATAACTGTATGCAGAGAATTTCTTTCTAGTGCTTTCTTTGCCCTTTGTTTTTCTTCTTTTCTTCTTTCCTCCCTCTCCATCTCCCACACTCTTTATTTCCTACTTCTTTCCAACACCATTGAAGAACCTTTCCTGTTCCAGGCTCTGTTCTCACACCTAAAGAAAGAGCCTCCCACCCCCAGACTGGGAAGACGGAGAACCCTGCCTTTGGAATGATCACCAACACCTGGGAAAGGGAATAGGTGTCCAAGGCCAGTGTTCACTGTCCTCTGTCACATGGGTCTGTGTTTCAGCATCTCCTTCAAAGTCTTTCCATTCCCTTCTTTCAAACTCTACAGGTTTTGTGGCCTCTCTTGAAAATTCATCTCTGGGTCTCATAATCCTCCTGGCCTTCCTTCCGAACCAACTGAATTCTTTGTGATGTTGAATTAGAGAAACATCTCCTCAACCCATCACATCTTGTCCTTAAGAAACACTCAAATGGACTTCTGCCATCCCCCCATGACTGCCAGCCCCAGGTAAAGCAGCAGCCCCATGCTTCAGAACAAAGATGCCAGAATCCCCCATTACTCACCTCAGGCTCCGTAAGTGACACTCCAGGGCTGGCTGTTTGGAGGGAGCTGGTCTGGTTTTACAGACAAGTAAGCTAAGCCACACTTCCTCACCATGCACCAAGTGACTGGACCCTTCCTGTATATAAGGGGGCTGGGGAGGGGAGGGACAGATGAGGAAAAGGAGGTGGGGAGAGGATTATTTGTCATGGAATACTTAATTGTCTAGTCACCCTTCACTTTAAGATAATGAAGCAACACAGAAGGCGGTCTCTGAGGTGAGATGAGACCTGGGTCTGAATTCAGGCTCTCCCACTGTCTCTGTGGTCAAAGACAAGTGTCCTTGCTTCTCTGAGCTGCAGTTTCTACATTTATAAAACTTAAAAAAAAAAAAAGAAAAAGAAAAAAAATCTGTCCTACTTCTCCAAGAAGGCAGGTAAAAGGAGAAAAGACAGTGACAGAGAGGTGCTTTTAAAATTCTGTACACAGAGCATACCAGTCTTATGATGTCAGAATAATTCAATGATTATGCTTAATTCATGATGGGTCAGTAGCCCAGAGGCTAAGGCTAGCCCCTAAGTGCCTCCCCTTCAGTCCCTTGGGGCCAGGAACTTTTAGAAGTGTTTTCTGACATGCACTACTCACAGTCCCTAGGGTTAAAGTCATGCAACCCAAACATATTTCTCCTTAGATTCTAGAAACTAGGAAAAATAAGAAAGTGTCTACATAGACCGGCCTGAAAAGCTGGGGGCCCTAGTATCCTGGTAGAGTTGCCCTGGCCTGTGCAGTGCTGACTGGGCTCACCCAGGGGATGCAGGCAGTGTCGAATATCGAATGTCAAGCCCAGCAGAGGCCATCAAAAGACCTGACCACAGCTCCAGCTAATGAGGCCCTTTGGCTTCAGTTTCCCTGCCTGTGGAATGAGGGCATCAACTGGAGCAGCATTTTCCAAAATGTAGTCCATAGAACCTCGTCTTGATGAATGCTTGCCTTGTAGAATACACCATGAAACAAGATAATGCATAGTCGGAGCAACCAGAGAAGCCCAGTGTGTACTTGTCCCTCTTGGAAACAGATGATGTGCCTAAGAGTGGTAAATATTTTGAGGAGGCCAGTGGAATGTGGGGGCTGTGACCAGCCTTGTTTCACCCCTTCACCTCAGAATAGATTTTACCTTTATAAATGACTGGAAAAAATAAATCAAGGAAAGGAACAATATTTTGTGACACATGAAAAAATACATGAAATTCAGATTTCAGTCCCACCAATAAAGTTTTATTGGGACATAGCCACACCCAATTATTCACTTACATTGGCTACTCTTGTGCTACCAGTAACAAAATGAGCAGCTGTGGTTGAAAGCACATGGACCTCAGAGCCTGGGGCACTCACTCTCTGGCTCTTTACAAAAGGCATTGAAGACTCCAATAGTTTAAGACTTCCTAGACAGTTGTTTATATGGAAATTGTCTGGCTTTCACTGTTTGATTAAAAAAAAACAACACAAAAACTGTAAGCCTAGGATAGACCGACAAATAACTATGATATTTTTAAACAATTAAGTTCCATTTTAATTTTTATTTTGCTACCTAACAGGAAATGCTATGGTATAACTTACGAAATAACCTTAGTTACACCATATTTACAGGTTATTGCACTTTACTGGGAAATCTTAAGAAAAAAAAATTGAGCTAAAGTTTAACAAAATCCTTTACTGTATAATTTTAAAAAATAAAACAAGACTATACTTAAAAAAAAAGGCGTTGTTACACCTGTTCTACATGTGAATGTTCTCAGAGTTCCCTTAATCTGGGTCCAAGCAGAAATGGAGTGGGAATGATAAGAAAAGGATAGCAGTCCCCAGGTAGATGGAGAAGAAAGAACTGTGTACATGCTCCGTGTGTGTGTGTGTGTGTGGGGGGGTGCTCCCCTCCCCCATTGGTAGACGTGCTGTTGTTTGTTTTCTTTAGCGACAAAACATGCGCAATCCCCAGCCAGCACCCAATTGGCCATCATTGTCACCAGCTGAGTCCTCCTCCATCTTGCCCTAGGCAGGGACTCTTCACACTTTCCCTTGCTTCAGGATCTAGAGCATTCCTAAACACCCCTGCCTCCTGTGAGAAGAATGACAAGACAGTGATGAAGCAGATCCGAAGACGAAGACGGGTGAGAGTGTGGAGCAATGATGGGAGGAGACAGGAAGCAGAAAGGGAAAAGGAGCCACGGGTCAGCACCCAGCTGACAGGTGGATGGGCAGGCAAGATGAGCTGGTTCCAGGGCAGGCAGGCTGGAACAGGGTCACATGGCAGTGGTATGGCTCAGCAAGCTCCAGGATATCCACCTGGGCTCAGAAGCAGCACACTCTAAGGAAAGGAGAATGTAACATGGATATTCCAAGCCAACCCAGGTCTGCGCCTCAGCCTCCAGGAGCCTATCACAGCACCACTCCGAGAGGGGAAGCAATAAGAAAGCTCAGGGACCTTGGCCAACATCCACTGAGACCACTGGCTTTGGAGGCAGGCAGACCTGACTTGGGTTCCAAGATGTGAACTTCCGCTTTCTCACTTGTAAAATAGAGTCCTCACAGGGCTACAGGGACACATATAACTTTGCTCTCAGAGTGATCCATGAGCCAGTGGCAACAACAATGCATAGGAGCCTGTTAGAAATGCAGAATTTCAAATCCTTCCCAAAATTACTGAATCAGAATGTGCATTTTCAGAGACTCTCAGGGTGATTCTCATGTCCATTGAATTTTGAGAAGCATCTGTGTAAAATACATGAAGGACTTGACCCTGTGTCTTTCACCCAGTAAATGCTCCAAGGGAAGGGGAAAAGGACTAGAGGAGGGGCTCTGCATGATGATTTGGTCCCCAGGG